ATCCAAAACCTCCCTCTCCCCAGCCCCTCCTTAGGATTTCCTGAAAACCCACAACTTTCTCCAGATGCAAGCCGGCCCAGCCTTGCCACGTCAGAAGAGCCAGGGCGGATTGTCACGGGCAGAGCAGTGGCTTCCTCGCCTGCTTGGAGGTGCTGAGGCACGGTGGCCCTGCTGCTGCCTGGGGGCCCGTGGAATGAACAGCCGGCCCCGCCAACCCAGTGTTCAGACTACCTGTTCAGGGAGCTCTGAATGTGTACAGTAGTCTGCACATTGGTTAGGCTGGGCTCGGGCCAGCGACACGTCAGGACTGGGCCCCCCAAACTTGCTGAAACCACCCCCCAAGAGGCAGACCTAGAGGTGAGTGTCATCGCCCACCACTGTTTCCGAATGGGGTGGAGGCTTGGACAGAAGATTTTGCAGTCCAGAAGGGCCTGGGGGGGGGGGAGGGAAGGCAGAGGGAGCCCCAACACTGGTTATGAGGTTGGGGGGCTCTGGCTGAACCACCCTCCGACTCCTACCCCATGCTATAACCACCTCCTCTTGTTTATTATTATTTTTAAAGATTTTATTGGGGAACTGGGGGAGGGAAACAGATAAGTTGCTGTCCTTTTGTTCTCCAGTCTAGTTGCGGAGGACATCGCTTCACTGGCCCACGTTAGTATTATCATTGCGCTCTTCCCGGGTGAGGCAGATCGGTCACTGGGCCCTGGACGACAGCTCACACTGGCTGCCAGCCACTCACGCCGGCTGCCAGCCACTCACGCCGGCTGCCAGCCACTCACACCAGCTGCCAGCCAGTCACAGTAGCTTTACAGCAGCCCACTGCAGCTTCACTGCGGCCTATGCTGTCGCTGGCGACTCACGGCAGCCCAGCTCCAGGTCGAGCTGTTGTTCATCATCTTAGCTATAGAGGGCGCAGCGTCACTGGCCCTAATGTGGGATCCGAACCGGGGCCCTGCTGCTCAGAGCTGGCGTTCCAAGCCAACTCTTAACCAACACGCCACTCAGCCGGCCCTCTCTTCTTTGTTTTTTAAATAAAGAAATATGGAGAGACGTCTTGCCCCTCTCTCAGGCTTCTCTAATCCACAGGGGTGGCCGCCATGTGTGACTCTGAGGGATCTGACTGGAATACTAACTTGAGTGGGGGTACAGGATTTTGCTCCTGACCCTCCCAATCTGAGCCTGCTTTGTCTGGGGCACACACAGGGCCTTTCACAGGCCTGCTGGTTCTCGTTACGGCCGGCGGGTGCTCCACTTTCCTCCCAACACTGCTCCTGCCTCTGGTCTGGGGCCCCAAGGGAGTCTGGGGCTCCTGCTTTCAACCCCCAGATCAGGGGAAAACAAAAAGCCCCTCCTTAAGTTCAAGAAAAGAAGCTCTCAAAATGGGACTCACAATGGTGCCATACAGCGAACTAGGCTGGGGTTTGGGCCCAGAACTTATTCTACAGCTGCCCAAGGCTGGTGTCAGGCCCTGGGGACCCCCAAGCCCAAAGGCGGGGACCAGCCCTGAGCTTGTCTGACAGCTGAAAACCACAGAACAGGCTGGGTTTCAGACTGCAGGGGCGGAGGGAGGGGAAAATATGTGAAAGCGTCACCTCACCCCTCACCCGGCCATTTTGAGAAGCTACTCCGGCCACACGGGTTCCTTGCGGAAGGCCTGGTTGCCCTCCCTCTACATCCCAACCCCATGATGCTGTGGGGTCATGGAAGACCCCCTACCCTGGTTTAGAAACAGCAACCCAGGTAGGGACCTTCTCTTTGGGGTCTCAGGGCTCCTGAGGCTTCTGGAATATTCTAGGGGTGAGTCTCTGGCCCTGTGTGGAGTAGGATGATTTCACCCCAAATACTCTCCTTTGGAGGAACCACATCTGGGTTAGGCTGTGGGGCAATGGTCCAGGCCGGGGCCGAGGTGTCTCTTGGGTTAGAGCGCTCATGCCCTATACCCATCAGAGGGACCCGGTTTTGCTCTGTGACATGGGGGAAGTCACTGCTTGGAGCCTCAGTTTCCTCACTGACAAAGTGTGAGGATTTCCTGAGGAGGAGGAGGGTGCTCTTTATGTGTAGCCTCTGTGGGCTCCCCAGCCAGTGTGCTTGGAATAGGACGTGGGCTTCATAAACAAGAGGGCCACAGACAGGCCTCGACAGAGCTCTCCCTGCCTTCTCTCTGAGCCTAGGTGAAAGTATACATGGCTGGACCTAGGCCTGCCTGTCCCAGGATGGGGTCAGTGAGGCATCTGGTGTGGGCCACTTCTGCAGGGGGTCTTCCTAAACCCCTACGGGGAGAAAAGCCAGGTAGGATGGCTCCAGGGGCAACAAGATAAGCCTGACTTCTCCTCCAAGGAGCCGGGCTTGGTGGCTGTGCCATCCCAGGTGAGCAGGACACACAGTGGCCATGTGATCAGATTCTGGTCAGGGACGCATGAGCACCCTTATTTCCCTTCCTTGAGGCCACGTGGTGGTGGGCATGGGGGCAGCCATCTTGGACCATGAGGGGAGGCAGAGCCTAGGCCCTGAACGCCTCACAGCACAGGGCTGCCAAGCTCACCAGGGGCACGGGCAAGAAACAGACTTCTGTTTTTCTAAGTGCCTTCATTTTGGGCCTCTGTAACAGACATCTAATAGTGCCCTGATCAACAGGGCAACCCAGGCAAATGACAGAAACACAGTGGCCCGTGCCCGTGACCCTCAACCTGTAACAGTAGCAACAGGAACCGAAGGAGTGGCTTCCCTCCTAGGCCACTATGCCACAGTTTTGTTGTTCCATTAAGAGAACTAAGTAAAGAAATGGGATACTCAGAATGGGAGGATGGGCTAGAGCAGAGGTGGAGGACGGATCTGGACAGAGAGGCTGCCCATTGGGCTGGGGGTACACTCACAGCCGCCCACCCACCACAGGTTTATGGAGACCAGAGCATGCAGTGCTGCTCCCTGTGGTGAATGTTCCTGGTGCTGTTTTGTGAAGCCTCCCTCTGTCCTTCTGATAAGGACAAGCACATGTGGAGTGTTCCAAAGACAGACACTATGACTAAGCACTTCACAGTTAGCAGAGGCCACTTTACCCACTTTACAGATGATGAAACTGAGGCCCAGAGAGACTAAGGGCCTGGCTGAGCCCATGTAGCTTGTAGACCACAGAGCCCCAGCAGCCTAGCCGCCTGGCTGTGAGCCTAGTCCCTGAACTCAGGCTGTGTCCCCTCCAAGCCAGGGCTCCCCTTGCTGTGACTTTGGAGGCTGAGGTTAGTTTCCAGCCTGACAGTGGCTCTGAAGGGCTGGGATATGATGTGTGATGCCTGGCACACCCTCCATCCTAATGGTGAACTCTGAGGCACAGTGCACTTGGGGGAGCCTTTCTTGAATGAACAAATGAACAAACGAATGAGCAAGTAAGTGAATGAGTAAAAGAGTGCGTGAACGAGTGAGCAACCATCCAGACCAACCATCTGGCCCTACGGCCCTATCCCTGCAGGCCACTCACCTCCTCATCCTTGTACCAGGACAGAGACTCAGCCGTCAGCACAAACCAGTACTCCTTGGAGCCACCCTTCATCAAGCTGATGTTGTTGATGGTCAGCCAGCCCCTGCGGATCACCTGAGGGAAAGGGTGCAGCTCAATGGGGGACCCATCGCCCAGCCCGGCCCACCCCCAACACAGCAGCCAGTGCCCTCGCCCCCAGCAAGGCGGGAAGCCAGGGGACCATGACAGAGACACTTCCAGCCCGAAGACAGACAACCCAACTCCGCCTTGCCCCAAGTACTTCCCGCTGAAAACTGGCATGGGGCGCTCGGGTGGACAGTCACCCATGCAATGAAGCAGTTCTTTTTCTCTTTTTTCAGGAGCCAACAAGCAGAGGCTCAACTCGCAGCCTCAATTCTGCTGCCTGCTCTGTCAGTTCATCTGCTCAGCTCACCGGGGCGGGAGCTTGGTGGGCACAGGGACCTGCTCTGACAACCCCTGCCCCGGGGATCCCTTCCCCACAGGCCCTTTTCAGAGTATAACGATGTAGGGGTGCCTACACCCAGAGGGCTGAGGACGAAAGTTTGAGCACAGGGAACCTGTAGGGGATATGCCCCACACTGGCCTCAAGCCCCATGGTCCCACTTTTCTCTGCCTGACACTTTTGGGTTCTGCGCTGGCAGACCCCCTGGATGGGGCTTATCAGGCCATAGCTGTCACCTGAGGGAGAGGCAGAACGCGGGCCTGCACGGGAAACTCACCTGACAGTTAAATGCAGGCAGCCTGGGGGGCCATGCTCCCATGTTCCCTGGACCATAGAGGCATGTGTGGGCCAGAGGCCCCCATCACTCTGGACTGGGGACCCCAGGGCAGTGGGAAGCACATGGAGGCACAGGCAGGGCCGCCCCAGGCCAAGGCAGCGACAGACTGGGCCAAGCTACAGAGGGTGGGCTGCATGTGGCTAGACAGCTGGAAAGGGCTGGTGTTGACCCCAGATTGGGGTGGGGCAGGAGCGCCCTAGATGGGGCTGCAGGGATGGCTCTGGGGCCGACATACCTTCCTAGCGGGTGGGTCTCAGGAAGGGCTTCATCCTGCCTACCCTGATGTGCCCCCAGGCCTGTTGAATCTTAACAAGTGACCAGCCCCTGGCCCTCACCCCTCCTGGGACTGAGTGTGGGGCTTTGAGCCACAGAGGCCATGAAGGTGGATGTGGCCATAGAGCGCCCAGACACCCTAGAAAGCACACAGAAGTCCCTGCTCAGGCTGGGGACGGCATGAGATGCCACCTAGGAGCTCGTTAAGGGCAAGAGCATAGACGTCTCCGTCTCTGGGATGATGAAACAGCACTTGAGTGTTGTGGCCGTCAGGAAGCAGGCAGTGACCTCTGGCACCTGCCCTCCCATGGGCTGCCTGGCGGGCAGAGGCCATCAGCCTCAACAAGATCATGGAATCCTCCCGGGCATCAGGGTGACCAACCAACCCTGGTTTGCCCAGGATGCTCCAAGTTGGCACTAGAAGTCTCAAATCCTGGGGACACCCCAGTGCTGGGCAAAGCAGGGCAGCTGGTTATGCTGGGAGTAAGGCTGGTCTCCAGACTCAGGCCCGAGATCATTCTGCATAGGACCCAGGAAGGAGCCCCTGCATCTGCCCAGCACCCAGCCCCAGAGCTGTGCGGCTCTGCTCATGCCTGCTCCTCTGCTCCCCCGGTGGCTGGTGGCGGGCCTTCCCTGCCTTAGTCCAGACCCACAGAATGGGTGCTTCTAACCTTCAGTTCAGTTGCTGATTGACAGCCAGGGGAGGGAAAGAGGCGGAGTGGAGAGACAGGTTTTCAGTGCTCCCCAGAGAATTCCTCCCATGACGAGGCCTTCACATTCCTGGGCCCAACCTAGTTTCCAAGGGCAAATGTACCCTGGCCACCCCTTGGCTGCCTGGCTTGCCTGCATCCACCCTTGGTCAATAGATGCCACAGCTGGCAGGCAGGGCCCTGGCTGTGCTGTAGAGCATGTGGCAATGGGGGGGAGAAGGGGAGGTTGGGCACACCAGGGATGGCACATCTGAGCCTCAGGGCAGGAGGCTGCTTGTCAGGCCTGGAGAAACCTGAGGTCTCTTCTCCCTCAAGCTACCCAAAGAGCTGTTGGGTTGTTGGAAAAGTCATGACGCATTTTTGCAACAAAAAAACATAGAAAAAATATGTCATGACTTTCCCGGCAACCCAATACCTTTGTGGGAGCCCACCTGGGGTCAGAGACTAACTCCCACCCTGGGATGGTGCAAGCTATGGGTGGCAGACACAGGCGCTGAGTCTAGAGGAAAAGGAGTACCTAGGCCTCCTCATCCAAAAGCCAGATTTGTGTCCAAGGAGACTGAGCTTAGAATGAGGTGGGGGATGGGAGTGGGGTAGGCAGGGGAGACAGAAGAAGCAGGCAAGGCTCCCATGCTCCTGGGTGCACAGCAACAGGCATGCCGGGGAGGGTGGAAGGGCCACAGAGACAGCATGGGCAGCAGGCAAGAAGCAATACAGCTAGGGACCGCCAGCACGGTGGTCCCATCTGCTCCCGGGTAAGGGTCCCAGCCCCAGCTGCCTGGGCAAGGATGGCAACCATAACTAGGAGACTTAGGAACTGGCCACACTTTGTGGCCAGGAGTGTGGAATCCAGCAGGAAAAGAATGACTAAGCCTCTCGGGTGAGGGGTGTGGGGAAAAGAAGGCCCCTGGGCTGTTTAGAGGCAGGAAATCATTCAAGTTCAAAGGGGCTGGGGGTGACACATGGGAAAGGGGGAACCATGGGCCAAGGGTAATCCATTTATCCTGCCACCGTCCCACCACTCCAGTCCCACCACTCCACCTCGCCAAGCTCTGGCCCTTTCTGTATCTTTTGAGAGAATTCTAGGCCCTGGGCACAAAAGTGAGGCCCAAGCACAGGGTCAGATCAGCTACTAAAAGGATCCTGGGGCCTTGAGAAGGCAGCAGTGGGGCCAGACCAGTGCCTCAGTGGCTGGCGGGTGGGAGAGTATCCTGGAAAGAAGGCCTGTGTTAGGGCTGGAGGCCCAGGCCGTGCTTTCCGAGGTGGAGAGCTGGGGCTGAAGCCAGCTGCCCAGAGGTGGGCACCTTGAAAAGAGCTCAACTCTCAGACATGTGAAGTACCTGCTCCCCACTGGGCTGGGCCACACACAGAGAGGAGGTATAACCTACAACAGGGATGGCAAATACCACTCATGTGGGGGCCACACCAATCAACAGGTAGGAGCTGCCCAGAGTCCTGTGGTGAGAATTCTAAGGCTCAGTGGGAAAGGTTGCTAGAATCAACTAACGATGTCTGCCACAAGCAAAGGATATGGGATGGGGACAAGTGGAACAAAAGAGCTTAATCCATCTTCGTATCTGCTTGCCATGGAGGCAGGATAGTGGCAGCATCGAGAAGAGAGATCCCTGATCAATTAGTCATGTCTGTCATGGGACTGTGTCACATACAAAACTATCACATGGGAAAAAAATTGTTCTGGCCAGTTAGTCACATCTGCCAAAAGAATGGGGAGTGGTGGCATGCTTAGGAAAGAATGGCAGGATTGATTAGCGGTGTCTGCCATGGATGGGCACATGAAAGGGGAGAGTCACAAGGGAGAGTGCTGGATCAATTAGTAATGTTTGCCATGAGCACAGGAGAGGAGAAATTTCCGCATAGTGATGTCTGCACTGGAGATGGAGTGTCAGCAGTGTAAAGTTCCAGCAGGGCTGGGGCAAAATCTTCCCTGGCCAGGGATGTGAGGGGAGGGAAGTATGGGGTGTTAGCCGAGTATTTGCCATCCCTGACCTACAGAAAACCAGGTCAACATGTCAAGAATGGGCTGGAGGGGTGGGCCTCCCACCAGGGCAGGTTAGTGTCTGTGTGAGTCAGCTTATGCCCAGGGCAACATGACATTGGGCATCAGCCGTGGCAGGGGGTTTTAAGGTTAGTTTGATTTTTAGTTGTTTTGTTATATTGGGGGAAAGGGAATGTTAAAGGGTGGCAGGATCTCCACCACTACTAGATTCTCTAATGTTTGCTACCATGTTAAGTGGGTACTTACCAAGATCTCCCCCTTTGAAAATGCAAAGTTAGGATTGTGGATAAATCAGAGAAGAATAGGTGGAGGAAAAGAAACGTAAGGGACATGAGGGGATGGAGAAAAAGCAGGAAAAGCACAAAAATGGGAGAAGAGAAGAGCAGAGGAAAAAACAGCAAAAGAAAAAAAATTACATGCTATTAATTATATTCATGGTGTTAATATTTAATTCATTATCATCTCCTGAAACAAAAAAGCAACAACATATGTATTACCTACAGCAAGCGCAAAAAAAATCATGCAGTGGTTACACCCTTCTTTTCCAGAGGGCTCTATAATCGTGCAAGATAAATAGCAGAGCCCCCACCTCCCCCAACGATGTGGAGAAGCGGGGGACATTGGCAGAAATTTTCAAAGATAATGATTTTCTAAAAAAACAAACAAAAAAAAAACACCTAATACTGGCAAATATAAGGCTGTTCCTATTTCATAGGCCTCTGGCTAGGCACAGCATTGAGGAAGAAAACCCTGTGTGTGGCTTAGGGTTCCTCCAGGTGTGGGGGTCAAAGCACCTCTGGTCTCCTCAGAACTGCTTGTCACAATGCAGCTTCCCATAGGCTCCAAGTCCTTGGGGGCTGGTAACCCAATGTGGCCGCAGACACCAGGAATGATTGGGCTGCCCGGAAGGTCAAGTTCTAACCATGGCCTTGGATGTTCAGACAGGGCCTTCCAGGTGCATAAAATCTGCTCCCTCAGCCCTGCCAGAGGTTTGGCTCTCAGAATCTGGAGGGGCATGCCACAGGCCAGGTGCCATCACCAGGCTCGGAGGTCCCTTATTGCCCTCCCGCCCCTGCCCAAGGATGGAGCTGTGGGCCCTGGAGGGGTGGCTACCTGGTTGGGAATGGCTCTCTTCTTGTTCAGCTGTGTGCTCCTCTGCTGGGCGCTGCAACCAAAGCACAGAGAGGCTCATGTGGGCGAGACGCAGGTAGAGACAAGGAGCAAGAGGCCCTCAAGGCCCGGGTGGGGTCCTCTCCCCCATGAGGGGGTCAGTGACCAGTTAAGGGGAGAGTCAGAGGGAAGCCCCCCTACACACAAAGGGCTGCCCAAGGGCAAGAACTCAGGCTCATGGAACAGGAAAATGTATGGAGTTAAACCAAGGCTTCTAGGCCCTGATATCAACCACTTCTGAGAGTACCAGCTATTTCCAGAAGTCACTGGGTCCTGGAGCCTCGAGGAGTGGGCATGAGAAGCTGGATTCCCAGGGGGCTGGAAGGTAGCCATGGTGGCTTACCCCGAGCCCCAGGCTGTTTAGGCTTCCTCCCAGTCTCAATTCCTACCCCTGACCCCAGCCCAAGTCCTAAGTGGTTCTGACCTGAAAGATCAGACCGTGGGACAGCTGCTGGCCAATAAAACATCACTCATCTTGGATGGCTCCTGGCCCAAACCAGAGGACAGTCAAGGTCAACAGGGTGTGTTTCTACAAGGTTCCTTATTTGTCTATAGTCCCAGATCTCTTTTTTTCATCTATCTTATTTCCTGGCTAGTTCATGCCAGGAAATGGTGAGTGCAGACGAAGTCCACATAGCTTGCTCGTGGGCACCTGCTTATGTCCCTTGTCCTAATATATTTCCTACTTGGACAATCATATCATCATCTGCAAACAACTGACACCTCCTGTTACTAAGACGTCATATTTTCTTATCGTATTACTTTAGCTGGACTTTCATAATATGAAAAGGCAAACCACCTTATTTTATTCCTTTACTGACCGCCTCTGGGGTTTTACCTTAAAGATCAAGCTGGCTGTTGTGTAAATTGTGTGTGTGCACGTGCACACAAACGAAACAGCCTTCTGTTCCTTGATCAGTAAAAGTTGAAACATTAAGAATGGAGGTGGAATTTTATCCAATGATTTTCCTAACACTGAGGTTATTCAATGAGTTTATTATAGGGCTTTTTCTCTGGGCCCTGTTTTTAATGTTTAGAGGGCAGTGGGAAAGCAGCCCAGAACATATAAGCAAAGGAAGACATCTGATCAATGTCTGAAGCAGACAGGACCAAGCTAAACCACACATGGTGATGGCTGAGTGCTAGAGAGGTCCCAGACATGCTATTTCCTAAGGGCTTCCTGGCTCCCTCCTTTTCCTGGCAGCCCACATGGCTGCACCTTTTCCTTGCCTGCATGCAACCAGAGATTCCTCACTGCCTTGGGCAGGGGTGAGCCCGAAGCCTTCCCCCTGGTCTGCAGGGGCCTCCTGGTGATGGGGCCTGGCCTCTCACCTCCCCCCTGCCCAGGCCTCTCGATGCTCCTGCTCCTCAGATTTCCTGCCCTGTCTTATCACACTTTCTTAGGGTCCCCTGCCTGTCATGACTTCCTTAGAAAGGTCTCTCCAGGACTCGTCCTTTGCGTCCCTTTCCCACAACCCCTCACCTACTCTCCTCTCCAACTCTCATCTTCCTGGGACAATTTGCTCAATGACAATGTGTCTCCAGAATGTGGGCTCTGAAGGGGCAGGCCCATGCTTGGCTTCTTCACTGTGCTAGGCAAAAGGCCCTGAGACAGCACTTTATGGCTGTTCAGTGGGTCCCTAGGATATCCCACCCAGGGCTGGGGGCCTGGTTGATACCTGGACCCCACCCCCAGCCATTCACACACCAGAGAAAAGGCACACAGCAGGCAATACCCACCAGGTCACCAGCTGCTCAGTATAGTAACAGCTGGGGGAGGTGGGAAGGCCCAGGAATCCAGAGGAAAGAGTGGAGTGGTCAAAGGAAAAACAGGAGAGATTGTGAGAAGGAACTGTGGATGAAGTATGAGAAGCAGAGACATCAAGGTGAGGAAAACAGCACCAAACCGAAGAGGGGGGACCAGCGTTTTCAGCCAACACACATCTGGCTGCTGGGGGACAGGAGCAGGAGGGGCTGCTCCCCAAGCTCTGAGAACCCCCGCCTGAGAGGCAGCCCATAACTAGGGCCCCTCAGCTCACCTCCAGCAGGGACAGCCCAGCTGGGGCACAAAGCTTCTGATCATGCCCTCATTCACTCAATCATTCATTCATTCATTCCACTCACCTACCCTGTGATCTGCACAGAACAGCTGCTCAATCAACTGTGCTGAGTTGAATGTTCTACCTGGGCAACTACTTAGCCCAACAGAGAGACCCCTGACAGGAAGACCCTCTTGCCCCAGACTGCTAGCCTAACACTGGGCTCTCGCAGGCCGCTCCTCAAAGAAGCCTCCCCGCACTCCCAAGGCCGCCCTCTGGACTCCCACGGGCCCTACGCAGCCCCACCCTGTCACTGACCACACTGTATCTTAACTGCCCACGTGCACGTCCTTCCCCAGCACAAGACTTTCCTTTAAGGGTGGGGACCTGTGTCTGTGCTTGCTCACTGCTGTCACATAGGGCCTGGCACAGAGAAGGCATACCAGCAGTATTTGCTAAATGATACAAGGGAGTTGGCTACCAATGGTCTGTTATTTTACTGGGCTCAGGCAACAAGACCTTTATGAGCTACCAGAACAATCCACGTGACACCCAAGCTCGCTGAGGGGGGCCTAGGAGCTGATGGAATAATTTGGGGATGATTGAGACCACCAGCATTTACATCTACATCCAGCTAAAATCAGAACTCCCTGCTCTAGCCCCTTATCCAGGTTCCAGGGAAGGTTCTGGTTGAAAACCTACACTGTATGGATGGATGCCATGGAGATCCTGGGCAGCCCTGACCCCGTGAGACACTGTGAAAGGGCCGAGTGAGTACGGGGAGGCTAGGAAAGCTGCCCCAGCGTCTATGAAAGGTTCTGTGAAGTCCTACAGGAAAAGAAGCTCTGGATGCTGGCTAGCCTCGCCCCCTTCTTAATGAGTATGACCCCAGGATTGCCCTTTCTTCCTTAAACTAACCACAGGAGGTGCACTGGGGACAATGGGGATGGGGCAGCTACTAGCCCATGCAAGCTTCCAGGTTCTCTCACCCCAGGACCCTGATAGAGAGAGCCTCATGCCCCAGCCCGCTGAGGGAATCCCAACTCGACTGTCTGAGAGGGGACATTGGTGCCACTCCCCAGCCACTATCCTGAAAAGTACATACTTGGCAAATCCAATGAAGTCCTCGTGGTTTGTGTTGATGTAGGACTGCTCAATGTCGATGAGAAGAAGAATCTGAGGGAAAGAAGGGGTCACTGTAAGTATAGATGGTCCCTGACTTACAATGGTTCAATTTACGTCTTTCCAATGGTGTGAAACCAATACACATATAGTAGAAACCGTACGTCACATTTTGAATTCTGATCTTTTCCCAGGCTACTGAAATGCAGTACAATACTTTCCTATGATGCTGGGCAGCGGCAGCGAGCCGCAGCTCCCAGTCAGCTACACGATCACGAGGGTGAATAGCCAATACTCTGCAGTGTATTCTTTATGTCAGATGCCTTTGCTCAAGGGTAGGCTAATGTAAGTGTTCTGAGCACATTTACAGTAGGCTAGACTAAGCTACGATGTTTGGTAGGTTAGGTGTTAAATGCATTTTCAACCTACAATATTTCCAACTTACAATGGGTTTATCAGGACCTAACCCCATTCTAAGTTGAGGAGCACAGCAGCTGGAGCACTTCTCGCACCAGCCAGCAGGGGGAGCCCATAACCACACTGCTTTCCAGGCAGAACAAGGACAACACATACATATTGGGAAATGGGACATGGGTACTTCAGACGACAGGGCCTCACAAGTAAGACTGGGCCAACAGAGCAGAGCAAGGCAGTCCAGCATGGTGGTTATGGGCACAGCCTCTGGGCTCACCACCTGGGCTGTAGGCTAGGCTCAGCCACTTTCTGGCTGTGTGATCCGGAGCCTCATGTTACCAAGCTATGGAATGGGGAGACAAGAGCCTGCTGCAAAGGGTTAAATAATTCACAATATGTAAAGTCTTAGCTAGCACTTAGCATTCCCTATGTGCCACATTTAGACAGCAAAGATAATGTGGCCAGGTAAGAACATTAAAATGAAACACACATATACACAGGCATACATGAGCCAGTCGGATGTCATCTCAGATAAGGGGAAGGCCCTTAAACAGTACCCTGGCTCTTCCTGTCACCTCACTGTGCCTCTAAGCCCTCAAACATAAAACAGGCCTGGCACTAGGTCAGAGCTTGTGGGGTTGCTGGAAAATACTGGGGTGTTCTGTTCGTAGGATCCGCTTTCACTGGTTTTATAAAACCTGAGTCCTGTCACCCTGGAGCCCATGGATCGAGCCTGGCAGTGTTGACAGTGGGGCAACAGGGAGCTATGATATGGATAGAAGGGACAGCAGCCTCCTTGCCAACAGTGACAACAAAACGAATTGGAATCTCCCAAGCTTTTGATCCAGCTTCCAGGCTACAGAAGCTACGAAGGAATAGGACACAGGTTGACTGGGGGAATCCTCTGAAGGACAAATGAGCCGGTTTTTTCTCCATCAATGTCAAGGGAAGAGAAACCACTCTAAACAAGGTGATATCACAACCAAATACTACACGTCAGCTTGTTTCAGTTCTGGTTTGAACAAACAGCTGCCAAGAGGCCACTGGTTCCGGAAAGTGATTCAGAACAGGTGTTGGGCTGTATGAAAACATAATGAAGGTCCTGGGTGCATTCAGCAGGGGACATGTGAGACTCATGCTATGACTACGTGGAGGAATCCAACTCTCTACCTTTGTGTGTGCTTGGTCTTCACAAGAAAATTAAAACACAAAAAGCACCCTAGTGTCCTCTGGCAGGCAAATAGATAAAATAAGCTGTGGTTCAACGATCGAGAGCAACAAATTTCGATAAACCACAAACAGGGATGAATCCCGAATACATACATCATGCTGAGAGAAAAAAGTCAGAATCAAAAGGATACATACTGCAAGAGACCATTCACAGAACATCCTGGAAAAGGCAAAACCATAGGGATAGGGGGCAGCCAAGTGGTTGCCAGGGCTTGAGGGGAGGGGCGGGGTTGCTAACAAAGATGCAAAGGATGAGAATTTTGGCGGGGTGGTGGTGATAGAACCATTCTATAATCTTGATTAAGGTGGGGTTACTGTATGCATTGGTCAATACTCAAAGAACTGTACACTCAAGATTTACTGCAAGTATATTATACCTGAAAATTAAGACAAAAAGCCAATACCTGATCCTTGGTTCTCCCCTCCCGTTCCCGGATGTAAGTGGTGACAATTCGCTCTGTCTCCTCTCTCAACCGGGGGTAGGAGCTGAGCTGGGTGGAAAGCAGAGTGGCAAAGTTGGCTGGGTCCTCATGGCATGGGGAGCAACGTAAACCACACCGAAAACACAGGGGAAGGTGGGTGACATGGGGTGGGCCCACCGAGTCCCCATCCCACTCCTGTCTCATAGCCGCTCCAGCTGGGAGACAAGGCGGCAGTGGGGAGACAGTGGGCCGGAGAGAGCGACAGGGTGTCCACGCACAAGCAAAGAGGCTTTTTGAGAATGTGATTTGGAGGTGGAAAGTGGCAGAGAAAGCGGGTGACAGCCACCCCCCTCCCGCCCAGCACTGGGTGAGAGCAAGGACACTGAGTGTAATTAAAGCCGCCAGGTCACTGGGACGAGTGCTCTTGCCGAGCTTGTGAGTGCGTAGTGCTTGTTCTAGGATGGTGGGTCAGCATCTGGGTGATCTACCTCGGAGGGACCCCCTTGCAGAGAACTGTTCCCCATCATCTCATCTTTGGAATCCACTCCTCCAACACCCCCAGAGCCTCAGCCTTTACAGCAGTAACCAAACCAAACACATGGGGAGCCCACCTTCAACAGTTTGGGTTAAGTCCACAAGTTGGGAAAAATTGAGTGGACAGTCAAAAACTCATGGAAAACCTATTAAATGTCCCATGACATAAGAACACAGGTCTGCACATTGCAATATTTCACAGCTTCGGTGATAGTTTGGAAACCCCCTTTCCTTAAGGGTTCCAGAAACCGGCACTGATGCTCATCCCCACTGCCTACTTGGTCAACACCTATGGCAACATCGAAGGCCTCCCAGCCCCTTCAGTAGCCGAATCTGCACAGGTGGGCACATGTGCAATGCATCTCCCGTTTTGTCTGCCGATGCAAAGTTGAGATGTCACTAAGCGACAAGGGGCCCACAGAGGGGGGTTCCTGGCAAGGCAGAGTCTCCCAGATGCGTGGGTTAAGACTAACAACAGAGGGAGAAGATGGGAGACAAATGCGTAGGTGATAATAACAAAACCTTCTGTTACCTTCTCGGCACACTTTTTAATGACCGTGGCCAGTTCTGAGACCACGAGATCAACACACTTCAAACTCGGCTCTTTGAGTTTTACAATCTGTTTTTTCACAATGGCTTCAAAGGCCATGTCGGGGGTGAAGAGCCCCGTCCTGGGTCATGCGGAAGGTGGGACCAAGTAGAAAGACACCCAGGGACAGTGCAGGCCACACACCCGGGACGGGAGACAGAGAGAGAGAGAGAAACGAGAGTCAGCTGGTTAGTGACATGCATGGAAGAGCCTGTGCCCGCATTTGCCCCAGAAGCTGCTTCGGATCAAAGAGGCGTCCTGGGTCCAAGGGGTGGGCTTGGTCTGGGGTTTAATTATAGAAGTGCTTTTTCGGTGTCATCGTACAGACGGCTAAGGGTATGCGGGTGCCTTAAGTTTTCGTATCTGTGACAACAGGCTTCAGGATGATAATCTCCACCCATCTGGTTTTCTTTCCCCTCCCTTTTCCAATCGAAGAAGCTTAAGAAGCAAATGTGGGCTTTTCCAGACTGAGAACAGAAGGCTCAAGCAGAAATCCCCTGCCTGGAAGGCCGACCCAGAGCTCTACGGCCATCGTGGGCGTGCAAGCACAAAATGCCCACCAGGAAGCACTTCAGCTGCTTAGCCAAAGCATGCTGCCCTGGGAACCAGGCCCTCGGGGAATCCCAGCACATCCTGCCTGATGGAGGCAGTGGCCTGTGAACACAGCACACAGGCGCTTGTGACCTAGTGGACCTGAGGACGGGCTGCCTGAGGGGACAGCACTGCTCCTAGGGGGAGCAAGGGGAATTGGCAGAGGCAGTCAGGAGCCCACTTTGGACGCAAGCACTTATTATGCTATTGGTCTTCGGGCCTTCCTTGGCACCTCGGGGACAGAGAAGTGGCAGGCTCTAGGGAAGTCTGAGGGCTCTAGGCATTTGTCAAGAACGGGTGACCACCAGGGAGGTTCAGAGAGCTTGGCCTCCAGCAGCTGACGCGGGGTCCCTCTCTGCTTCCCAGACGGCAGCAAAGCAATAGCCCAACGACACCCCCAATTCCATCAGACACATGCTAGGCTTGGTATCAGGGTCCCAGGGAGCCCTACCCACCAATATGGCCACTTCTGGAGGCCTGGCACCCTCCCCCACAGTTGCATCCAGGGTGACACGCCCCCACCCCAGCCTCTGGAAAGAGGCCCTGTTCTTGGAAACCAAGGCAATATGGGGGGAAAATATGGGACACAGGCTGAAGCAGCACTGGGAGTCTGATACCAAGGCCCCGAACCCCAGTTTCCACACGGCCAGGAGTCCCCTGCCAAGGGGCCGATACCTTACTGGTACACTGCCTAACTGTATTGATTAGCTCCTGGATAACCAGGTCGACACATTTCAGACAGGGCTCTTTCAGCTTGACGACCTGCTTTTTCACAATGGCCTCGAATGCCAAGTCCGGGGTGAAGAGCCCAGTCCTAAAACCATCCGAACCCAGGGGCAAGGGAGATAAGTCAGAGAGAAACAAAGCACGGTCAGCAATTTCACAGGCCTGGGTCAGGTTCCCGAGAAAGAACCAAGGTCATGGCAAGTCAGACGCCTGCGTCCACAACCTAGAAACCCCCAGGGTAACCTGAGGACCCCATGGTGATATGAGACTGGATAACTTAAATGACTACTTCTGTAGGAATACGAGGGGACCCAGGAGGCTCCCATGGGACAAATGTTGGGTTCCTGTAATCATGTCTACAGATCTGGCTCCCCACCCCCAACTCCTAGGACAAATATGAAGTAAGCTTTCTTGGCTGACCACGGTAACTAGGGCTCATGCCAACCGGCTGGGCATTTTAACCAATGTTTAATCCAAGGGCAGCAGACAGTCCCGTGGCCCACAACAGACTCACTAGGACTGAGCACACCCACCTTCGAGTGCTCCTGGAGACCCACAAAGACTTACAGCTACTGAAAACCACCCAGGAACCCTTGTCAAGGCCTCACAGTCGGGGTACCCAGAGGTTTGGGGGAAACAACTGGCTGGAGGGTGGCACCGCGGAGGTGAAGGGAACAATGGCAACTCTCCCTGTGGAACTTGCCTGACTCCGTGAATGTTCTTAATGGCATAGCTGATCTCCCGTCTTAGGTCCTTTTCATCGAACTCCATCTAAGAGAGAAACCAAACACATGCAAGGACGTACCGGGGGCATCCCAATAGGTGCGTGTCTGGGGAATGCTGTATCTCTTGTGCATCTGCATTCACATGGCAGAATATGAAAATGGTCAACATTTAAAAAAATATGAAATATCCCAGTATCAGCAAGAATTCTGTGAAACTAACACTCTTGTTCTTTTAGAGGAAACATAAATTTATATTAACTTTCTTATGAGCTACTTTCAGTACCAATCAAGAACCTCTAAAAATACACCTATACTGTCACTTGGTAGTTTTTAATGCTCTAGAAACTTATCTTGAGGAATTAATTAGTTCTAGTCACAGAACTATTCATAACTGCTGAAAAATATGAAAATAGCCTAAATGTCCAAAAATGGGAGGCTGGTTAAATGCACAATGGGACATCAACAAAATAAAATCCTGTTTTGTCACTGACAATGCAAGAAATGCTTTTAACTAGTTTCAAAAGATGGCCACCACATGAAAACAGCAGGGTACAAAGACATATAGTTATTTAAAACAATATACAGAAGGTGCCAAAAAAAGGTATACATTTTAAGAAAGGAAAAAAACTGTATTAAAATTGTAATACTCGGGGTAACCAGTTAGCTCAGTTGGTTAGAGCATCGTGCAAATAACACCAAGGCTGACAGTTTGATCCCTGTATGGGTCACTGTGAGCTGCACCCTCCTTAAAAAAAATTTAAAAAAAAAAAAAATTGTAATACTCAATATATACCGATAACAAACAAGTCACGTTTGACTTCTGGAGTTACAAGAGGTGTTCAAAGTGGTTACCATCAGCGTAATTTTAATTTAGTTTTTTCCTTTCTTAAAATGTGTGTACCTTTTTTTGGCACCCTCTGTATATGTGCACACAAGCATGGATGAATGTATGTGCTGGCTTTGTGTGTGTAGGGGGCTGACTCCTTTGCATAGATATAATTCTAGATGCTAATTAGTACCCAGGTGCTAATAGTTGTTTGTGGGTGTTAGGATTATAAGAGTTTTTGTGCTTTTAGCTTTTGATCTTTAATTGAAAATAACTTTACCGATTTTTATAAAAATGATATGTGGTCTCAGTAAAAAGTAAAACTTCAAGCAAATTTTTAAAAAATCTCAAATCCCAGCATCAAGAACTAAAGAACATCCTTGCAGATCTATGCAAAGACATACATCTGGACACACATGTGCAATTTCATATGGAAGGATATTTTAATATTATCTATGCATCCCATTGCACATGCTGGCTCCATAAACTGCTTGGTTATTTTTTTCTCAATATGCTGGGGACATTTTCTCATGTGAAAATACCTCTATTTTCTACGTGTTTTGCAAAGAACATATACTGGTTTTTGTCAGAGGAAAAACAGTATTTTGTAAAGCTCTGCAGGAAATCTGTAAGCTGCCTTGCTCAGGGAAGGAAGCCCAAAGGGAACACCTCCCCCAGGCCACTCTGCTCTCAGCAGGCTCAGGCCTGGAGGCAGGAGCTCAAGACCTCAAGCCCTGGGAGGACAGGCTGGGCTCGAGGCCGAGCAGAAAGGCCCAGAGACAGGGGGGGCCCAGCCGCGCTACCTTCACCAGCTCAAAAGGAAACCGCTCGTGGAAGATGCGATTGATTCGGGCACCCCCAGAAAGCTCCAGCGTGTCCACTTGGTCTCCAGAGCCCTCGATCCTCTTTTCAAAGTCTACCCCAAACTGCTGGACCATCCTACAAGGAAAAAGAAAACCTAATGTCAAAGCGGAGGTTTTGACACAGCTCCAGTATTATGTTCTTAGTCAACTTACCTCTTTTCACTTTTTAGCAGCAAAATGTACATGTAGGTCAAAACAAATAAACAAAATTCAGGAGCTGCAGGTGGCAAACATTCGCTACACTCAAGGCCTACTCTAGTCCTGCTATGATTACTCACTCATTGAATTGAAATGGGTGCAGTTATTACTCCCACTTCCTAGATGACAAGAGTGAGGTACAGGGGTCATGGCTTATCACCCTCACCTCTGCCCTGAGGCTTGGTCTGATCCAACAGGACTATGGTGTGAAAAGATAGTCTCTCCACACAATTCAGGGGCCTTCCGCTGGTTCCCACCATCCCCCAGCCTGTGTGGGGTGGCACATACCACCACTATGGGCTGTGAGGCCTTGGACAGGTGGCTTTGCCCTCTGAGCTTTAGTTTCTTAATCTGTAAAGTAGGTTGATTGTTACAGCACCTCCACACAGGGTAACTGAGGATTCAAGGAGTTTCTAGATTTCATCAACTCCAAGAAGTCATCGATCCTAAAATACACCATCTGTCTATGCACCCACAAAAAAAGAAAAAATGCTGTCAATTGATGGTAATTCACCTAAAACTTCCGAATTCAGAGAAGTAGAATTTTTGTATTTTTAAAAAGTACTCATATAGTTGACAAAATGTGATAATACCACATGTGGCCCCTTAGAACCCAGACCTTAAAAATTATCTCTAAGTGTCACCAAGTAGTACTATAAAGATGTGACCACTAGAGAAGAACTAAGGTCTTTATTAGCGTCTTGGTTTTCCTTAGCACTTCTAGTTGCTTCCCCCGAGTCCCTTGCACTGTCTGCCTTAATCATTCCATTATTTCTGTCCTCCGAATTCTTTTATTTTTTTTAAGATTTTATTGGGAAATTGGGGGAGGGGAACAGCGCTGGGGAATCGGGGGGAGGGGAACAGACAAGTTGCTGTTGTTTTTGTTCTTCAGTCTAGTTGTGGAGGACGTCGCTTCACTGGCCCATGTTGGTATTATCATTGCGCTCTTCTCAGGTGAGGCAGATCAGTCGCTGGCCTCTGGACGGCCACTCACGGTGGCTCTTGGCAGCTCACACCGGCTGCCAACCACACACAGTAGCTTATGGCAGCCCAGCAGCAGGGGCTGCAGCCTACGCCGCCGCCGGCAACTCACGGCAACCCAGCTCCAGGTCTTAGCTGTGGAGGACACAGCATCACTGGCCCTCATGTGGGATCTGAACCAGGGCCCTGCTGCTCAGAGCTGACATCCCAAGCCATCTCTTAACCAACGCGTCACTTGGCTGGCCCCTGTCCTCCGAATTCTTGACCTACTCAAGTACAGGCACACCTCGGAGATGTTGCGGGTTCAGTTCCAGATCAGCGCAATAAAGCGAGTCACACACATTTTTTGGTTTCCCAGTGCATGTTTTATCTTTACATTACACTGCAGTCTATTAAGGGTCTAATAGCATTATGTCTAATAAACAATGTAGATTCCTTAATTAAAAAATACTTTATTGCTAAGAAATGCTAACCATCATCTGAGTCTGTTGGAAAAATGGCACCGATAGATTTTCATGATGGAGGGTTGCCACAAACCTCCAATTTGTAAAAAACTCATATCTGCAAAACTCAAGGTATGCCTGTATTGTGTGGTGTTTCTCTGAAGGGGAGCTGTTTCAGTGGGGACCAGCCCCATGGGCATGCAGCATGGAGCCCACAAGCTCTAGCAGGCAGAAGTCTAGCTCTTATGAGCAAATACAGGAGATATCAGTGCACTGTTGGGGTGGCCAGGCCAGGAACATATGAACACTAGTTTCCCAGGGGCCCTGGAGTACAAGCCACGCTCACAGAGCACCCTTACCATCTGTCACAGGTTGAATTTTATCCCCAAAACTCATGTTGATGTCCTAACCTCCAGTACTTCTGAATGTGACCTCATTTGGAAACAGTCATTGCAGATGTAATTCGTTAAGATGAGGTCATATTAGAGTGTGACCCTAAGCCAATGTGACTAGTGTCTTTAGAAAACCGGGAAATGTGGGCCAGCCAAGTGGCGCGGTTGGTTAAGAGCTGGCTTGGGACAGTAGCTCTGAGCAGCAGGGCCCCGGTTCGGATCCCACATGGGGACCAGTGACACTGCCCTCTACAGCTAAAATGGTGAACAACAGCTCGACCTGGAGCTGGGCTGCCATGAGTCGCCAGCGATAGCGTAGGCTGCAGTCCCTGCTGCAGTGGGCTGTCATAAGCTACCGTGTGTGGCCGGCAGCCAGCGTGAGCGGCTGGCAGCCAGTGTGAACTGCCAAGAGCCACTGTGAGCGGCCATCCAGAGGCTGGCGACCGATGTGCCTCACCTGGGAAGAGCGCAATAATACCAACATGGGCCAGTGAAGCAATGTCCTCCACAACTAAACTGAAGAACAAAAGGACAGCAACTTGTCTGTTCCCCTTCCCCCGATTCCCCAGCGCTGTTCCCCTCCCCTAATTCCCCAATAAAATCTTAAAAAAAAAAACAGGGAAATTTGGATGCACCGAGGGAAAAGCCATGTGAGGGTGAAGACAGAGATTGGGAACACCCAAGACTGGCAGCAAACCACCAGAAGCCCCCAGAAGGAACCAACACTATTGATACCTTGATCTCAGACTTTTGGTGTCCAGAACTGCAAGACAATAAATTTCGATTGCTGAAGCCACCCAGTTCATGGTGTTTTACCACAGCAGCCAAAGTGAACAAATACAGCAATGTCCAGGGCAGGTGAGATATCGACAGATGACCAGCGGTCACCAGAGACGAGTGGTCCTGAGTGTACAGCCACAATTGCATGTCAAGGGAACAGGCATTCCTGTTTCTAGTTGTACGGGCGAGATCCAGGTGCAAAGCAGAAAAGCGGGGGGAGGAGAGTGGGCCTGAGAGATGCCCCCAACCCCTTTGTCTGGGGAAAGAACCTGCCAGGTCTTTTAAATGATCTGCATTCTAGTCACAGCTGGGAGGTAAAGGAGGAGGTTGTACAACTTTGTTCCCTGACACGGAGCGATGACCAAGCTGTGCTAGTGGGGAGGAAGCCAGATACAGAACAATCTATCATAACGATGGTGATAAAAGTGAAAACGGTTAGTTTTTCTGTCACTGGCTTCCTATAGGCCATACACTGCATATGCTTGTGCATGACCTGCGGACCTGCAGGCATGGTTGCCGGGAACACCTCTCTGTAGACAGTGTAAGTGATACAGATTCAAATTTAAGTGCTCCTTGACCCAGCGACCCCTCTTTTAGGAGTCTGCCCTGCAGAAATCCTCCCATGTGTGCTCAATGATGAATTTGAGAAGCATCTGTTGAAGCAAAAAATACTCAAATGTCCCCAAGGGGTGTCGGGTCACAGGAATAACCTGTGGGATAAGCCAGGCAGCCATAAGAAATGGAAGGCTCTTGATGCTTCCGTCATTTGTTCTTATTCTGTTGTAAGGCAACAGCCCGAAGATGGGAACCAGGGTGCAGAGGAGGGAGAGTTTTCAGCCTCTTTGCTTCACTTTTATAATAAAGGCTGAGGGGAAAATTATGCAATTCAAAGGGACAAGCACCAGTGGAAAAGGAAGGACCAAGGGCCTCTGCTTGTCTGTGGCCTGCAGGACTAGGACCCATGGAGAAGATGCGAAAAAAGGCCCAGCCTTCCTGGGGCGCTGCAGATGACAGTAGTGCACCTCCACTGTGATGTGCAAACTATACCTGCAGGGCACTAGTGAAAAATGACAATTAACATGCTAAACCCTGGAGGATGGTGGCTGTCTGTGGAGGGGATCCCCTGGCCGAGTCCTACTTAGCAGTATTTTCAAAAGTTCCTCCAATGGCCATGTGATATGACAGCTGCTGCTGTCATTTTAAGGGCAAGGAAAGTAAGGCTCAGACAGACATGGTCACCTGCCAGTGGTGGCCCAGCAGGCCCAGGCTTACCACCAGGCCATAGCCTCTGCAGCATGTGGCCTCTAAATCTCCTCTTAAAGTCTGCAAAAGACTAGCGTTTGCATTATAGAAAGCTTTGCAGAATGCAGTTGAAGTTATCTGAGAGTAAAAGCATTCTCACTCCAATCCTACCACCATGCACTGCCATGTGGCCGAGAGGGTAGGGGAACGTCAGGTCTACCATGGTCACAGGGGACAGTGTCCCTCTGGTGTTCCTGTGGGAAGAGTCTCATGCATGGAACCATCTGCCATATGAGTTGCCAGGGAGTTTCCAGAACCCACTCTAGCCAAGCCCTTCCAGCATTCAGTGTCCCCAGCAGAGCAGAAACCAGGAGTCCAGGGGCAGGAGGGGCCCCAAGTGAGAACCTAGGTTCGTGGGGCACACCTACTCCCCAGCCTCAGAGCTGCAAGCTGCAGGGAGTCCCCCATGACTCTCATCTGGATTCCGAGTCAGGATGAGGATTCCGAGACCAAATGGAAGCAGCTAACAGTCCGGCTCCAGTCACCCCACCCCCCATGTATATCCTCTTTGCAGCAGCCCAGAGGGCGCCTGTGAGCACCTGAGCCAGGCCATGCCTATCCTCTGCTCAGAAACCTCCATGGCTCCCAACTCACTCAGAGCAAAAGTCAAAGTCCTCCCCATGGTCCACAAGTCCCTGCACAGTCTGCCCTAACCCCCATCCCCACCTCTTCTCAACTCTCCCTCATTCACTGTGCTCCAGCCCCATGGCCGTCCTCCAACATGCTGGGCATAGTCCTATCTCAGGGCCTTTGCACCAGCCAAGCCCCAACCCCCAGGACTCTACATGGCTCCCTCCCTCACCTCTTTAGGTCTTTGCCTGAGTCTCACTGTCAGAGAGCTCTTCTTGGCCACTCTATTTTAAATGGCACCTCATGCCCACCTGGCACTCTCTAGCCCCTTCCACACTTTAATATTTCGCCATTTCGCACACTATACATTTGCTTATTTACTTCTTTTCTGTCTCATCCTTCCCCCTCCCCTTCCTGAGCACACAGGGCAGGGATGGGCGTCTGCCCTGTTCACTGCAGGGACCCCAGTACTCAGGACAGGGCTTGACACACAGGAGGCCCTTGGGAAATGTTTGTTGAATGAACGGGTGGATAAACGAGGATGGGTGCCCAGCTCAGACCCGGGACCCTGTGGCTGGGTGGAGGCCCTGGTGAGCCAGGCTGGGGGACTGGGGGACACGTACTGCAGCAGGGCTTTGGTTTTGCGCGTGGGGTCGTCGGGCCGGAAGTTCTTGTACTCCTCCACTTCCTTCTCCAGAGACAGCAGCTGGCTCTGCAGCTTGCTGCGCAAGGTTGGCAGGGACTCCCGGATGTGGTTGGTCAGTTGCTGTGGGAGAGAGGCCAGGGGTCAGACGTCAGTGTAGTCATGAGGAAGGGGCAGGCCAGCTCTGCCCAGCACAGCCTCAAGAGAAAGCTGGAGCCTCAAGAGAACATCCAGCTAGCATCACACTTGTGCATGGGGCACGGAGAGGCGGTACAGGGCTACCCATGGGCCTTTGTAGCACAGATCAGTCGGGGTGCCCACACTATAGAGTACACGCAACTGTGTGCAAGGACTACGCAGAGTGCCATGTGTGCTGACCCAGAACAGTCTCCCACAAGTGCCACTCAGTGAAAAGCCCAGGAGGCCACTGCAGGACCACGGACTGAAGAACCGACAGACAGGCCACAGTCCATGAGGACAGCAGGACACCAGGTGGATGTGCAGACATGGGGACGGGCCCTACAAGCTAAGTCAGACACAGCTTCCCAAAAAACGTACGGAACATACGCATGAAGCACTGCCTTCTGGGAAAGAGTAAGAACATGTTTTCATTTGCAGGAACAGAGAGAAGGAAGCATCACAGGAAACAAATGCGATGGAAAGGGCAGAACGGAGCAGGGGGGCAAGAAGGAGACGTTTAACCGCAGCCCCCTTTCCTCCACTGCTCTGCTTTTGCATCAAGTGCACACATTTTAAAAGGAGGGAGCACTGCAGTAAAGGTCAGGGAATGAGTCTCAAGAGGTGTCGTTAGAGAAAAAGCCAGGTACAGAGCAGTGGGCAAATACCTTACTGCTCAGGTGGGAAAGAAAGGCGGGAAGGAGGGAGGGGGCGGTACAGACACAGCGGCCCTCCAGGCCCTGAGTTTCTCTAGAAGGAAGCCCAGGAAATGATGCCACGGGCAGCCTCTGGGGAAGGAACTTATCATGGGATGGGAGGAAGTGGGACATTCACTAAATTTGGGCCATATGCATATAACTTTTTTTTTTGTAACTAGTATGGGGGCGAGAAAAGAAGAAAAGAGGAGGGCAAGGGAAGGGAGGGGAGAAGAGAAGGAAGGGCAAAACAAAAGCCATAAAATCAGCTAATACCCCAAAAGTGAAAACCTGCACTTTGTTGCCATCTGACCTACAATACAAAAGAAGTTACAAAGTATCCATGAAGCTTGACACAAGGCTGAAAGAGCACCATACACTGTGGTATGAATCTGGGCTACCCGCAAGTCCTCTGTGACCAGTGGCCCCCGCAGGGCCCCTCTAAAGGAGCTGAAGATCTCCAAAGGTCAAGAGCTATGCTACCTGCTCAGCAGACCACTCTGGTCTCCAACAGCAACCTACAGCATTACAGCAACTCCATGCAACTCAGGGGGAAATGGAGGGGAGGAAGGACAACAGCTCCAGGAGGCCAGCTTAGCTGTGGGATCTCAGAGGAGACACCAGGGGCCTGCAGGGGCGTTTTATTTTCAGGAGAGTTTTACTTCCCGTCCCATTTTCCCACCCCTCTGCCCAGGCAGACCCGCATTCTTCCCTGGAGGGCCCCTCCCACTAGACACTTCCTTCCCTCTTTGCTCCGCTAAAGCGCAATCTCTGCCTTCCTGCTCTGTGCCCACTCTCTTCCTGGCTCCCATCACTACCGAACACATAAGTGAGCATTTGAGCATTTATCTGGTGACTTGTTCCAAGTCTGTCCCCCCAGTTAGAAATCTGCCTTCCCAGAGGACAGGGCCCTGCTCTCATGTTGCCACTGTGTCCCCATGGTGTACGTGAAGGAATGACTCTTGGATTGTAGCTCTGAGGCCCTGCCACCATCCAGGAAGCTGCCATAAAGTATCAAGGAGGGAATGTCTTGCAACCCCAGAAGGGCACATCAGGACAGCACCTAAGGACAAGCACTGCCTGTTAGTGTGGTTACCTAATCCCCCATCAGGGAAGTCGAGTAAATCAGTACATATTGACTAGAAGATGAGAAGCCATCCCAGTGGCCTCCAAAGTGCAACTGGTTAAACAGATTAGGGCCCATGTGCTTAGGAAATACTACACAGCCATGAAAGACAGAGGAGGGCTCTTTTCTTCATGAACAGAGCTCCAGGAGAAACTGCTGAGTAAAAAAATGCAAGGGTGGCATCCATGACTGTGTCATCATTTACGGTAAGAATGTGATTTGCAAAAGTCCTTTTTGCTTTTATGGACAGAAAGAAAGTTAAGCAGTACTAACAGTGGTGCCCTGTGGGCTGGAGGGAGGCGCTTCACTGTACATTTTTTATACTGATTTATGAACCCTTTGTGTGTGTGTGTGTGTGTGTGTGTGTGTGTGTGTGTGTGTGTGTGTATAAAAGAGCAAAATAAAACAGTGAAATATTGGAATTGATGGCGTTTGGTATGTCCTGCATTTCATGCAGTTGTATGCACTAAGCACTTAGCAGATGCCAGCCCTAGGAGGCAGGGATGGTGATGATTCCTGACTGATGGATAAGGGAGGGCGGCTTGGAAAGGCTGGGCCCCTGGTCCAAGGCCATCGGGTCAGAAGCTGATCTGGGCTTGTTTTGGGCCCATGAGGGTCAGGCTCTGAATCTGAAGTCTTCCTACTTAGCTACTCTCTGGTACTACTAGCTGCTCTGCTTTGGTTCAGGCCAAGTGTTCATACCCAGGTCACCAACCTCAGGAACCGTATGCAAACTTCTGGATATGTGACTAAATAATTACAATGGCAATTAAAATAATAGAAATAGTAATAATAATAGCAATGGTAATAATATTACTGATACCAACTTACTGATCATTCTTCAATAGGCCCTGAATCAAAGGTGGATTGAACCAATTCTGCTAAAATAAGAGCTGTTCTAGACCAAGGCCAGTTCCATCTTGGATGGCAGCTATTGTGCAGTGCACAGCACGCGCAACTGCACAAACCACTGCCCTACCTGATTCAAAGTCTTCTGCAGGTGTGGGGTGCCCATGCGGTCAGCCATGTGCCGGTAGGCTGGGTGGGAAAGGAAGAACTTCCTCTCGGCCGCCAGTGCTGTGCGGATGTCTTTCTTGCCCTCGATGTCCTTCTGGCTGCGGTTCACCACACCAATGTAGCCTGTGGGGAGAGAGGGTGAGGGTAGGGGCACTGCCTGGAGGGCCAAAGCGCCCAGGTGCCCACTGCAGCCCAGGCACACAGGGCCAGGCAAGATGTAGGTGAAGACGTGGATTCCATCCTACAAGTCACTGACACACAGTCACAGGCTGTATGCATTACTTAGAAACAATACAGAGAATGCAAACACAGTGCAGTCGAAAAGCAACCTAAGCATCTAGAGAAGCAGTTCTCAACCTCCTAATGCCACGACCCCTTAATACAGTTCCTCATGTGGTGACCCCCAACCATAAAATTATTTTCATTGCTACTCTATAACTGTAAATTTGCTGTTATGAATCGTAATGTAAATATCTTTTTGTTTTCCGATGGTCTTAGGTGACCCCTGTGAAAGGGTCGTTCGACCCCCAAAGGGGTCGCGACCCACAGGTTGAGAACCGCTGGTCTAGAGGAAGGAGAGATTACATCCAGCCTGGTTTGAGGGGGGTAGATAGAGACAAGCTTTGAAAAAGATGAAATCCACAAACTGAGCTTTAAAGACAGGTAAGAAAAAAAAATCTCAAAAAGAAGGGCAATTTGGGGACAGCTAATCTTGCCAGACATTAAAACCTATTCTAAAGCTATTATATTGGAAAAGATTGGATATATTGGGGCAAGTAAGTCCAGAGAGATGAATGGAACAGAAAGTCCAAAACCACCCAACAGCAGGTGGGCACTAACAGCTAACACTTCAAACTCTGTTGCTGACTTTTTTTTTTTTTAACTTTTATTGGGGAACAGTGTGTTTTTCCAGGACCCATCAGCTCCAAGTCAAGTAGTTGTTTCAATCTAGTTGTGGAGGGCGCATCTCAGTGGCCCACGTGGGGACTGAACTGGCAACCTTGATGTTATTACCACTGCGCTCTACCCAACTGAGCTAACCAGCTGCTCTAACTAACTGAGCCAACTGGCCACCCCAACACTTCAAACTCTGTAGGAGGGAAGCTGGATTATTCAGTGGTCGCTGTTGGCAAAGTTGGGTGCCTACCAAAATTAATTCTTGAGGGATCATAGATTTACACATTAAATATGAAATTATAAAAGTATTTGAAAAAAAATAGGTGCATTTTTAAAATGTATTATTATTATTATTTTAAAGATTTTTATTGGGGAATTGGGGAAGGGGACCATTGTTTTTTTCCAGGATCCATCAGCTCCAAGTCAAGTTGTTGTCCTTCAATCTTAGTTGTAGGGGGTGCAAGTCTAGTCGCCACTTCCAATCTAGTTGCAGGGTGGGGGGGAGTAATCTACCACCCCAAATGGGTGTCTAACCGGCAACCTTGCTACTAAGAGCACGCGCTCTCACCAGCTCAGTGGCAGCTCAGCTCGGGCGCAGCTAACTGGCCCATGTGGGTATCAAACCGGCGACCTATTGCTCAGAGCTCGCACTCTTAACCAACTGAGCCACTAGGCCCGCCCCTAAAAATGTATTTACATTATAATATTCTGAATGAAATATCTTAATTGTTATTCATGAGTACATGAGAAATGGGACTTGGGGGAGGGGGTTGAGAGACAGTCTCCTCAACTGAGAGCCTTTAGTATTATTTTGGAATTTTTCCCCAAATGTGAGAAACTATTTTTTTAGGCTAAAAATGCTAGTGAAAAGAAAAGATCTGTAATATTTGGACATAAAGAATAGACAGAGATAAACATAAAGAGGAGGAGAAAGAAGAAAAGGGAAGCAGGATGTTGCTCAAAAAGCCAGAACCACCAGGAGCCTCTGATGCACCCAGCAATACGGGTGTACGAATGGGTGTCATGGGAAATGAACTTAGCCTAGTGGCTGGCACAAGGTAGGTGCTCAATGAACAGAGGCAGTTATTCATTGTTAGTAACATAATTGAAGTTGGAAAATTAGACTGGGGGTAGGTGGTAAAAGGCCTGTTCTCTCAGCAGTAGGGGTCTTTCAACGCTTCTTTTGGGAAGAAGGGGAGTGGTGCCTGCTGAGTCTTGTGAAGACCTGATCGCTTTTTGTCCTCTCCTTATTAGTCATTATATCCATTTTACAGATGAGGCAGAGAGAGGCATCTGGCGTGGGTTTTGGTTCCTCTAAAGGTGCCAGAGGTCTGAGTCTTTCATAAGCCAAGAAAAGGATCCAACTGGAGGGATTCTGAAAGCCGCAGGGCAAAGGAGAAAACTGAGAGAGAGGCTGAGGTCCCAAGTCGGGAGTGAGCATATAAGTGAATGGAGACAGGAAGAGCCACTTTCCTGGAAACAAACAGGAAGGCAGAGGAGGGGAGACATACACCACAGTGAGCGAGAAGGAAGGAAGATGAGGAGATCCACGTCATCTGGCCACTCGGGCAGCAATGCTGAGCCCCACAAATGTCCCTCGGAGTTTAAGATGGTGGCCCAAGATGTGTGCGAGGGAGCACGAGGGCTGGTGGCTGGTGGAGGGCATGGGGGCAAATGGGGTTTGCCTCCCTCTTCAGCACTGACCCGTCCCCTTCCTAAACCTCTGACACCAATTTGCTCTTCAGCCTCTGATCCTTGCTGCCAAATAAGTTTTTGGGTTTTGCCCCTAACTACATACTTTATACTGATCTGCAGCCACCACTTGACACTTAGTGTCTGAGCAGTGCTGGGGAAAGGTGGCAATCAAGATTTGAATGTTTCCCCCATGCCTATCCCAGATATTACAGAGGAAAACCCCAGAAGCAAAAGATAAGACCAAAATGGTGCTGGCAAGGTACAAGAGCCAGAAGGTGTCCACAGCTGAGAGCTGATCCCAGAGGGAAGGAATGGGAAAGGAAGGAATGCAATTAGGGAAGAAATGGTCTAAAAAACCCAAAAATCTAGATGGATAGTCAACAATATGCCACAGTGAAAATCCAGAACCAACCTAAGTGTCCAACACATGGGGAATAAGAAAGAAAGCAGACACAGCTCCATATAAAGGACTCCACAGGACCTTTTGAAATCATCTTGATGAATATTTGCCTGTTGTGGGGAAATGTTCTACTAGTCTGCTATGTGAAATGGAAAATCAGGTCACAAAGCAGAATGGCGCTGGAGGGCTGGTGCTCAAAACCAGCTCTGTCACTTGCTAGCTGTGAGAGCTGGAGCAAAGGATTTGGCCTCTCTTTGCCTCAGTTTCTTCATCCATAAAGTGGGGATGAGAATACAGTCACCATGTTGGTTATCAGAATGAAGTAGGCTCTTACACATCAAGAGCTTAGAAGAGTACCAGACATTTAATAAATGTTTGCTATTCTCATTTTTTTGGAAATAAAAATACCTAGGGTATTCCTGTCAGAAAATCTGAACCTGAGTGCTGGCCGAGTGGCGCGTTCGTTAGGAGTTGGCTTGGGATGCCAGCTCTGAGCAGCTGGGCCCTGGTTCGGATCCCACATGAGGGACAGTGACACTGTACTCTCTATAGCTAAGATGGTGAACAGCTCGACCTAGAGCTGGGCTGCCTTGAGTCACCAGCGATGGCGTAGGCTGCAGTGGGCTGCTGTATGCTACCGTGAGTGGCCGGCAGCAAGCGTGGGCAGCTGGCAGCTGGAAGTTGGTGTGAGCTTTCGTGAGCTGCCATGAGCAGCCATCCAATGGCCGGTGAGCGACTGCCTCACTCGGGAAGACCGCAATGATAATACCAACAAGGGCCAATGAAACGATGTCCTCCACAACTAGACTGAAGAACAAAAGGACAGCAACTTGTCTGTTCCCCTCCCCCAATTCCCCAATAAAATCTTAAAAAAAAAAAATCTGAACCTGAAACTGAGCCTAATCAGGCCTCAGATCTAATTATCAGTTTACATGCACCTACCATTGGCCAAGCCTGAGTGTGGGATGTGATCTGGTTTCTTCCACAAATGAATGTTATAGAAAAAAACAAAGGGTCTGGGAGGGTTTCAAATAGAAACTTAGGTATTTATGTGTAAAATGATATTATGCCTAGGATTTGCTTTATAATCTCCCAGGGAGACAATGACAACAGGAGGTGAGGACATGCAGGGCATTCAAGATTAGCTGTGTGTTGATAACCACTGAGGCGGGGGTTCATGGGGATTCCTCACACTTCTTTACTTTTAAGAATGTTGAAAAATGTTCATAATAGTAAGTATGAAAATGAATAAAAGTTACAAATTCTGAGGGCTGGCCAAGTGGCTCAGTTGGTTAAGAGCTCGCTCAAGAGTTTGAGCTCTGAGCAACAGCGGTTCGAGTCCAGCCCGAGCTGAGTAGCCGCTGAGCTGCCAACAGGTGGCAGGATGGCTCAGCTAAAAAAAAAACAACAAAAAAAGTTACAAATTCTGGGGAACATTTTGGAAGGAGAGCCACAAAGTGGTAACTAGTGGCTATCTAAAAAATCGTAAACAGCTGACCTTTGAACAGCTTGGGATTAGGGGCACCATCCCCCTCTTCAGTCTATAATCCATGTATAACTATAGTTGGTCCTCTGCATATACAAATTCCCAACCGGAATTGACCCTTGAACATGGGTTTGAACTGCATGGGTCAACTGAACTGTAGTCATTGAACTGCGTAGGTCAGGGGTCAGCAAACTTTTGAGACAGAAGAGCTGCCAGGGGTCAGCAAACTGCGGCTGGCGAGTCACATACAGCTCTTTGGGTATGTACATGTGGCTCTGAAGTAAAACTGAAAATGAAAATAAAACTATCATAGTTTCATTTATAAAAATTTTAAAGGATAGGGCCCCAGTTTGGATCCCACACAAGGGACAGTGACGCTGTGCTCTCTACAGCTAAGATGGTGAACAGCTCAACCTGGAGCTGGGCTGCTGCGAGTCACCGGCGATGGCGTAGGCTGCATTGGGGCGGCAGTGGGCTGCCGTGAGCTAAGTGAGTGGCGGGTAGCCAGTGTGAGCGGCCAGCAGCTGGCATGTGCTGCCGTGAGCGGCCATCCAATGGCCAGTGACCAATCTGCCTCAGCCAGGAAGAGCACAATGATCGTAATACCAACATGTGCCAGTGAAGCGATGTCCTCCACGACTAGACTGAAGAACAAAAGGACAGCAACTCGTCTGTTCCCCTTCCATGATTTCCTAGTGCTGTTCCTTCCCCCAATTCTCCAATAAAAGAAAAAAAAAAATCTTAAAAAAAAAAAAATGAATGTATACAAACAGGAAGAAAAAGATATTTGAGTTCACTCAGAAAAAAAGAAGTTAGAAGAGTTGGGAAATAGATGATAGGGGAATTTATCTGGGAGCACTTGCCAAGGTTTCAATAATGAGAACAACAAAAAAAAAATTTTGTTTCTACAAAGCAGGAGTGCACCAGCTCTCCTGCTCAACCCCACCTACCTTTCCTGCCCTCCTCTGGCCCTCTGCCCCCCCCCCCCCCCGCCCCATAGCCCTAGCTCCCTACTCCCCACCTCGTGGCCCCCAGCCGCACCTCTTCTCAAGGGGAGCAGCTTGTTCTCCAAGACGTCCCTGNCTGGGAGCACTTGCCAAGGTTTCAATAATGAGAACAACAAAAAAAAAATTTTGTTTCTACAAAGCAGGAGTGCACCAGCTCTCCTGCTCAACCCCCCCCCCCCAGGTCTCCCTTCCCTGGCCCTGTGGCCTCCCACTGCCCCGCCCCATAGCCCTAGCTCCCTACTCCCCACCTCGTGGCCCCCAGCCGCACCTCTTCTCAAGGGGAGCAGCTTGTTCTCCAAGACGTCCCTGGCATCGGTGCCCTCGTCCATCAGGTCGAGCTTGGTGATGACGCCAATGGTCCGCAGGCCTGAAAAAGCCCAGAGGTCAAGGGCGCCACAAGGAAGGAGCCCCAAGCCACCATGGGTCCAACTGAGCCCCCCTACTTCCAGGCTGTGTGACCTGGCACAAGCCATAACGTCACCTGCCTGAATGCTAGTTTTCCTCATGTCAAATGAAGACAGTAACAGCACCAATCTCAGGAGGTTAGCCATGAAAATAAACCTGACACGGCAGGTTTTAAAGTATGGCAAACGTTTAATCAATCAACACTGGCCACTGTCGTCATCATTCTTACGATCAGTGACTGCATCTTGCTGCTGCAGCATGAGGGGAAACCTCATCACACTCCCGGGTCACAGGCGTCATGCTGTGCTCTCTGCTTACGAAGTCCCAAAAGAACATGCAAACTATTTCTGGGGAAACCTTTCACCTGAATGGCCAAAATTCCACTCTGTAAGCCACCCATTGAATTCTACTCCTCCCCAGGTCACCCAGAATCTAGAGGGCCCTCCTAGCAAAGCCTGACACCTGCAGATCAACCTCCCCCACCAGTGCCAGCCATGTGTGTGCCCACACATGCACGCATGTGTACAACACTCAGGGGACTGAGTGAGGCCCAGCAAGATCTCCCGTAGGCGCTAGGTTGGGCAATTAGGAGGAAACAGCATGCCCTCCCAGGCCCCCTGCCTGCTCCCATTCTGCTATGAGGGTGAGAGCTGGAATTACCTCTTCCGAGGTCACAGGTGTGAATATGCACAAAGCTCATGCCTGGTCAGGAGGGGAGAGGCAGAGCAAGGTAAAGAGATGTGACAGGCAAGGGAATCTGGGGATATTAACTCTATTGGAAATGTCTGATGTCACCAGAGCATTGTTTATTAGAGACTTGAAACAACCCAAATGTTCGAGAAGAGAAGGCAACAGTGGGGCACCTGGTGGAAAGCTGTGTATATACGTCCCTATGGTAATAGGAACACACGCACATATCACAGAAAAATAAATAAAGATCATCCCCTTTTTAAAATGTGAGTTTAAATGGAAGAACAAACTCTGAAAGGGTATCGGCCCAGTGTGGTCACCAGTATTTCTGCAGGGGAAGAGAAGCTGTCACTTTTTAGATTCTATATTCTACAATGGTGACATTTTTTGAGTAGTAATTATGAATACTGTTAAAGGCAGAAAAATACTTTTTCAAGGAAGAACGCCAGCATCAAGTTCACAAATGGTGCGTAACTGTATTCATCCAGATTTTCTCACAACCTGATCAAGCCTCTGCAGCGTCCTTGTCACAATCACACCCCATTTGGTGGGACCAGACTGTGGGGACAGGGAGGCTGTGGGGGGCTGTCAGCAAGGGCGGCCCCCCCTGGGAAAGTGTTCCTGGGATGACTTTGGGGGGAAGTCAGCACAGCTTGTCCCCCACAGAACAAAGATGCTTAACACACACATAGCCCTAGACTTTGAGGAGCTTGCAGTCCAGGGCGGTAAAGGGCCACCAGCAACCACCCAACACTGACCACCCCACTAGGCGTGACTCAGAGCTAGAAACCAGGGAGCATGAGCCACAGAGCCTGTCTCCCCCAGCTCCTTGCTGGTCCCTGACTCCCTCCAAACCACTATGGAATCAAGCAGTTGGAGAGCACTTCGTAAAATGTATTTCAGTGTGTGTCACACTCCATTAAACCTCCAACACTCTCAGAATCAAGCCAGGTCACACAGTGGCCCACAAGGAAATGGCCCTGGCCCCAGCCCCAGCCTCACCGCCCCTGCCCTCCCTTTAGCTCACTCTACTCCAACCGCGCAGGCCTCCCTGCTGTGTCTTGGGCACCCCAGGCTCAAATCACACCCAGCCTATTTGGCATCCATTGTCCATTTTTCTGGATTTGGCCTCTTTTTATGATTCTGGTCTTGCCTAAAACCTCACACCTTCACAGGCCCCTGACCCCTCCCACCCCAGGCACTCTCAAAGGGTTCTATTTTCTTCTAGTGCTTACCTCTACCAGATATACTCTACCAGAAATCCTACCAAAGTAGGCTTACTTGCTTATTTCCTTGTTGGAGTCTGCCTCCCCCATTGGAATATCAGCCCCCAGTGGCAGGGACCCTGTCAGTTTTGTCCCCTGCAGGGTTCCCAAGGCCAAAACAGAGCCTGGCATGCAGCAGGTGCTTAACTGAGATTTAGTGAATAAACGGACACTGGCAAAGTTTGACCCGGAATGCCCTGAGCCAGAGATGCCACAGCCCAGTCCCCATTACTCTCTATTGTCCCAACTTGCTTCATTAACTCACCTTCTTTCACCTCCCCATCCTGGCCCCTGAGCAGTTATGGAGACATCTCTAGTCCTCTCAGCAACTTCGCAGGTTGGGATTGAGGCTCCCGTCTGGACAGAAAGAGGACCAAGCCTCGGGAGTGTAAATACCTTCTAGAGGTGGGATTTGGACTAGCATCTATGCCCTGGGAAGGCGGGGCTCTTCCCATTTCCCTAAACTAGCTTTCAGTGCAGGAGAAGTGGGGACCATCATGTCCGAGGAGGAATGCCCAGCTGCCACACAACGGCCTCCCAGGAGACGCCGTCTAGCACTGCCGGGACTCATGGGATATGCCGTGTCCCAGACAGACTTTTCCTAGGGAAGCCATGTGCCAAGGAGAAAGCTAGTGACTTGGAATAAAAAATGCTGGGCAAGTCGCAATGCTCCAAGGCACCTGGAAGAGGGATCCGCTGCTGTGAGGTTTGATGGTTACCTTGGGGGTCGACCTCCTTGGCCATCTTGAGGGCGTCTGAGTTGGCCAGGTCCATGTTGGCAGGGGTGACAGCAAGGATGAGGCTGCTCTCCCGGCTGATGAACTGCAGGATCATGTCCTTGATCTGGTACTCGATGTCTGGGGGCTGGTCCCCCACCGGCACCTTGGTGATGCCTGGGAGGTCGATGAGGGTCAGGTTCAATACTGGGAGGGAAACCAGAAGGAAAGGTCATCAGAGCCTGGGGGAGGGGAGGCACACACAGCCACTGCAGCCAGTCAGCCCATTCCCCCAAAAGCCAGGGGGTCAGGTCTCAGGATTCCTTCTGCTGCTCCACCTGGATCACAACTTTTGATCCAGTAACTCCCCTCCTAGTATGCTTAATTGAGATTAAGACTACCCTACAGACACCCTCTATCCAACTCTATTTCAGTGTTGCAGTTTTAAATGAGGACATCAGCATCTGCAGATCGGAATCCATTCGAATGACTAATTAATTCAGCACAAAGATTCAGCCAATACCAAGGAATCATTAAAAACAAAAAGATGACACACTGATAAACAACATATTCTGGGGGCCAGCCGAGTGGCGCGATGGTTAAGAACTGGCTTGGGACACCAGAGGGCCCCGGTTCGGATCCCACATATGAGGGCCAGTGACACTGCCCTCCACAGCTAAGATGCTGAACAACAGCTCAACCTGGAGCTGGGCTGCCGTGAGTCGCCGGCGATGGCGTAGGCTGCAGCCCCTGTGGCAGTGGGTTACCATGGGCTACCGTGTGTAGCCAGCAGCCAGTGTGAACGGCCATCCAGAAGCCGGCAACTGATCTGCCTTGCCCGGGAAGAGTGCAATGATGGTGCCAACTTGGGCCAGTGAAGCAACGTCCTCCACAACTAGACTGAAGAACAAAACGACAGCAACTTGTCTGTTACCCTTCCCCCAATTCCCCAGCACTGTTCCCATCCCCCCAACTCCCCAATAAATTATCTTTAAAAATAAACAAACAAAAAAACCCCCAACATATTCTGATATGCATCTACACAAAAAACAGGCATTGGGCCGGCCGAGTGGCTCAGTGGTTAAAAGTTGGCTTAAGAGCGTGAGCTCTGAGCAACAGGGCCACCTGTTCAATTCCCACATGGGCCAGTGACACTGCGCCCAAGCTGAGCTGTCACTGAGCTGCCAACAGGTGGCAAGATGGCTCAGGTGGTGTAACAACAAGATTGCCTGTTCGATGGTGGGCTACACCCACCCACAACTAAGACTGAACTCGGCACCTTGAGCTGAGCTGCCACCAGGATGGCTCAGTGGATACATCATGTGCTGTTAACAACAAGTCTGCTGGTTCGACTCCTGCATGGAATGGTGGCTATGCCCACCTGCAACTAAGATTGAACACAGCACCTTGAGCTTAGAGGCCACGAGCTGCCAACGGGCAGCCAGATGGAAACTGGTGCCCTCTACAACAAAGACTGAAGAACAACAACTTGGCTGGTCCCCTTACCCAAATTACCCAATAAAATCTTTAAAAACAAACAAACAAGGCCGGCCGAGTGGTGCGTTGGTGAAGAGCTGAATTGGGAAGCCAGCTCTGAGCAGCAGGGCCCCGGTTTGGATCCCACATGGAGGCCAGTGACACTGCCCTCTACAGCTAAGATGGTGAACAACAGCTCGACCTGGAGCTGGGCTGCCGTGAGTTGCCGTTGACGGCTGAGTCTGCAGCCGCTGCTGCAGTGGGCGGCCATAAGCTACAGTGTGTGGCCGGCAGCCAGTGTAAGTGGCCAACAGCCGGTGTGAGCTGCCAAGAGCTGCTGTGAGTGGTCGTCCAGAGGCCAGCGACTGATCTGCCTCACCCGGGAAGAGTGCAATAACACCAACATGGTCCAGTGAAGCAACGTCCTCCACAACTAGACTGAAGAACAAAACGACAGCAACTTGTCTGTTCCCCCTCCCCCAATTCTCCAGTGTTGTTCCCCTCCACCAATTCCCCAATAAAATCTTAAAAAAATATTTAAAAAATAAAAATAAAAAACAGGCATAATTTATATAATGCTATAATTTAGTGTAAGTGGTTAAACAGACATATATGATAAACACATGTATACATTCATAAATACTTACATATGCATCATCATTTCAAGAACATGAAAACTATTTGTAATACTGGGGCCAGGGTAGGCTTTTGCTGTATATTCTTTTGTAATTTTTTAAGATGAGTCATGTATAGACATCATTTATTCAAAAATAAATTTTAAAACTCATCACAAGAAACCCATGCTGAGGAGTTCAAGTCTGCTGGAATATTCCCTAAATGCTGTCCGTGCTCTGGGCCAGAGGCTGCACATGGCCAGAGGCTATACGTGACCCCATGCTGCTCTGTTTAAATGATGCAGAGTTTTAAAATCAGGACATTTTGCAAAGAAGTCTATCTTTCTGGATCCTCTTGAGAAACAGAAATGCTGTCTACGTTGGGCTGGTTTCACTTGTCACTATGTGGCCGTCATAACCTGGGAGCCAAGTGGTTGTTTGCCTCTTTACAGGACCATACAAAATTAGCAGCCACAAAATAGTCACAGGCAAGGGTCGGCAAACTTTTGAGATGGAAAAGCCGCCAGGGGTCCACAAACTGCGGCTCACAAGCCGCACCACTCTGAAGTAAAATTGAAAATAAAAATAAAACTATCATAGTTTCATTTATAAAAATTTTAAAGGATATTATTCACATAATGGTGATTATTTAAAAATATATTTATGGCTCTCGAATAATTTTTAAATTATTGTGAGGGACAGGATTGGCTCTTCCAGGGGTCAGCAAACTTTTCAGACGGAACATATCCAAAGAGCCGCATGCAGCTTGCGAGCCGCCGTTTGCCGATGACCCCTGGTCACGGGGATGTAAAGTACAGAAAGGGAATCTGGTCAATAATTATCATAGTCAACAATATTAACCATGTATCGTGTCAGGTGGGTACTATACTTATGAGGGGATCACTTCGTAAGTTATATAAATGTCTAACCACTGTGCTGTACATTTCAAAATAATTAAATATTGAATGTCAACTGTAATAGAAAAAAATTAAAAACAAACAAATAAAAGGAGCAGCATACAGCTGCAATTTGTCCCAGTCCCCAGTGCTTCCAACAGTCTTCCTGGCATGATGTTTTTCTTAGAGCTGAGATCAATTTCTCAGTGCCACGTTCCTACCAAAAGTGGGAAGCTACAGATCAAGAGGACCAAGTGTGCATGTGAAGAAAACGAGGAGGCACATATTCTTTGTGACAGTGAGGCCAACCCAACCTGTCAGCTTTCCTCTGCCCCCATGATAGGCTTGTGCCCACGCTGCCTACCGTGTGGCGAGTAGACCCGCAGGTTGATGGGCACTGGGGAGATGCCTTTGTTGGTCCCCGTGACCCTGTCGGTCTCTGCTTCGATCTCCTGTCGAACTTCATCAAAGTCTGTAAACTTTTTGGACTTGCAGTGCAAAAACTCGGCATATTCTGCAAAGGGAAAAAAGATGCTCAAAAAGAGAAAGAGGTGAACTTGCAGTGGGTGGGGAGCAGATGGCCTTGTGGAACAGGCACTGTGCAAGCAAAGAACATGAAGAACCAGTCACGGTCGCTCTAGGAATCTGGAAGCAATAGATTCCTCCTCATGAGAAGTATTTGATGAGGGCACTCCTATAGACCGAGCCCCCTTCCGGTCCTTAGGGATTCCATAAGGAACAAAACTGGCAAAGATCCCGTCCCCATGGAACGGAGGTTCTCATGAAGCATTTTGCAAAACTATACATTGTAACATGAGTCAAAGAAGAAGAAAAAAAATCAACAGGTGGATGTGACCAGCATTTATTCTTTTTTGGTGAACAGAAGAGGAAATATCGGCATTCATCACTCAGAGCACGGGTGATGTACGTTTGATGAAACTTCTGCTGTGGTGTCATATGTGAGACTGAGTCCTGGGTCATGAGGTTCTACCTCGCTGTGGGTCACAGTCAAAAGAGACACAAGTTGCTATCCTAGTGGAATCCCAAGCCACCAGCGCTCACCAGCTGGCACATGTCCCTAGGACTCATTTGTCCTTCCCCAAGGCACTCACAGTATGGGGAACAGTGCACAACTGCTGGCCTCACCAAAGCCTGTCTCGCTGACCCTCCTTCCTTCCTCCCCTCCTGGCTATTCAAGGGGTCCCCCACCTAGACATGCACCCCTCAGGAGAAATGCTTTCTGGGTAGGGCCTCGAGTGAATGTAAGAGATCTCTTCACACCTTCTGAGCCCAGGGTGTCTGAACGCCATATTGACCCTGAGATAGAGGAAAATATATAAGTGACTAAAGAGGCAGTGCTGGCCCTATCATTAAGCCAGAGTAATCCAAAGCACAGACATAAGATAAAGCAAGGATAAAAAATGTTCACTGTAGGATGTAGGTGCTGAGTTTACAGATGCTTACTATATAATTCCTCAACTTTTCCTTATGTTTGAATTTTCATAGTAAATGTTGAGGACAAGGCTCAGAGATTGCACAGCTCCTACAGTGATGCTACAAAGAGGGAAGTCACGGGGCAAACATCCTAAAGAACTGGACCACTGCAGAGATGCAAAGATGTGTAAAACCATGCTTTCAAAAAGTAAAAAACTGGAAATTGTCTCAATGTCCACCAGGAGGAGACCTGGCTACATAAATCAGAGCATACATACCATTAGCTGCCTCAAAAGTAAGGATGGACATAGAGGCCTGCAACAGAGAAAGGCCAGGCAGGTCTAAAATCTCTACCCATAGGTGTAACGAGACAGAAAGAAATGAGTGCAAGAAGGTTTGCCATCCATCACATTACAGTAACCTAACAAACTACGGCCAACACTCAGCACTTGCTCGCTCTGGCCAAGCCCAGCGTGTGGTCCCATTTATTCCTTATGAGTGAGAACGTTAGCAGGTAGGCATCTCTGTGAGGCCCATATCACAGATAAGGAAACTGAGGTCCAGGGAGGTGAGGTGACTTGGCCCAAGCTCAGTGGTGGAGCTGGGATTTGGAATTCAGATAATCTGTCTCCAGGCAGTGGCTCCCAAGTCACATGGCCTTTGTGAGGCCACCTGCAGGCTCTTCACCGCTGTGGCCCGCGTCAGGGGAGACTCCTAGGGCTCAGAGCACTGAGGACTTTGTCCAGCATGGGCACCAGCCACTCGACAGCAGAGGCAATGCCAGCTGGAGGGTCCAGATCAACCACCCCACCCCCATCAGCTGACCCAGGTCCCAAGGACAGTCATGCTCCAGCCCTCCACAAGGACAAGAGGGAACACTTGGCTGCTCTTTCTGCAGCAGCCACCCCAAAATGGAACAGTCCTCCAACCCTGACAGCAAACTTGTTTTCTTCCCGCTTAAGGCCCTGGGCTCAGCACCCCAAAGAGACCATATCCCTTCCAGGAAGAGTGCAGAGGGGCGTGGGATTGGAAAGGGGTTGAGGACCACGACATGGGCCCTCTCCCCTGCAGACGTCTGCCCTGCCAGGCCTGGTGCCTAGAAGGCCCATCCCCACCTCCTCCTCTTTCAGGGCCTATCTGTCTGTCACTTCTTCCAGGGAGTCTTCCCTGACTCCATGCCACCTGGCACCCCATCCTGTATCTTGGGCCTTCACCCCCACAGAGCCAGGTCACTGTGGATCATGTTTATGGGACCAGGACCTGCTAGCTGTGGCTTTCCAGAGCCCTGCATGTGCCGGCAGCCTCCCATCTGTGTGGGTGAAGGATATGCAGGTGACAGTGCTGGAAAGCTCTGGCTTCTTCCTCAGCAGGTCGGGGGCAGCAGGGAGGTTCAGGAGCCAGCCAGGCCCATCCCTCATCACCTGCCTTCCTTATTGGGCTTCTTGTCACTTTGGAACCATGTGCTAAATTCCAGAGTCATACCAACATTAAAAAGCTTCTACTAAGCCTGCTTTCCCCCATAGCACTGACCTTCTTAAGGCCAAACCTTGGCCCTCCTCTCCTCAAAACCCTCCATTGGGGTGACCGGTTAGTTCAGTTGGTTACAGCGTGGTGCTGATAACACCAAGGTTGCCGGTTCAATCCCCGCATGGGCCACTGTGAGCTGCGCCCTTCCTAAAAGTGTCAACTATGCCATTGTAGCATGAAACCAATGTGTAACCAATGACCATGGCTGTTCTCCAATTTAAAACAAAACAAAACAAAAACCCTCCATGGCTCCCACTTCACCCAAGTAAAAGCCAAAGTCTTCACCACATCCCACAGGGCCCTACAAACTTTCCTTCCCCTCCAATTTCTGACCTCAACTCACTCCGGTGAAGCCACGCTGGCTTCCCTGCTCACACTCCAGGACTGCTCTTGCCTCAGGGCTCTTCTGTTTGCGTGCAGGCACACTCATGGCTCCCTGTCTCATTCAGGTGTCACCTTCTCTGTGAGGCCTGCTCCGGCCCACACCTGAGATGACAGGCCTCCCCTGTCTTGTTCCCTATTCAGTGTCTTATCCTTATGCCTTGTCATCCCCTCCAAGCACTCTAATATTAGTTATCTTCTCATCCTGTGTCTTTTCTCTGGTTCCGAGCTGGAAGGTCCACCTCATAGGGCAAAGAAATCTGTGTTGTTCAATTTGGTCGCCGGGATTCCCTCTGAGCACACAGTAGGTGCTCAATAATTACATGCATGACTGAATGATTCTGCAAGAATATAGTTCTTGCTTCAACTTCTGTGAGGTGGCCCAGCACCTCCAAAACCACCAAGCTGGATATATAGGGGGCTGAACAAGGACAGGGTCTGGCGGGGCCACCTGCTTTCTCTTCTCCTCCCTCCTTCCTTCCTTCCCAAAGCACTACTTGACGACACAGGACCAGCCCCAGCCAAGTTCCTGGTCCGATGGGGAAGATGGACACTGCACAAAAGTGTCACAGCAGGTATGACAGAGACCCAACATACCAGAAACTGGGAGGGATGGCCTGCCCATCTCCAGTCCCAAGCCCACCCCGAGATGATAGAGGAAGGTAAGGGAGGGGGTAGGCAGAGAACCCGTGCCCGAGCCATCTGTCTTATGTGGCGACCTTTCCCCTATCCTAAGGATGCTCTGGACCAGGGAGAGGCTACAGGGGAGGGAGGGAGGCTGCCCATTGGCCAGGCTCACCACTCTCTGTACCTTAGTTTCCCTGTGAGGAAAATAAAAACAGGAGAAATAGACAGGAGGGGTTAGCCTGGGCCCCCACAGCCCTGTACATGTTTGAATGCTGAAGATGATTTAACTATCCACTGTCACAACAAGCCCAAGGAGGTCTTAGGACTGAGCCCCTAGTTTGCAATACCTGAACGGCTCCTCAACCCATCCCCAGCAGCCAAGGGCAAGTCACTGCACACTCTGCCTGCCCAGTCCCTGCTACAGAGCTGCGCCCATCCCCAGCCCAGCTGCAGTGTTTTCAAATCATCTGTTCCTCATGTGCAGGTAACAAAGCCAGTCCCACCCGGCCCTGGTCCGTGCCAGAGCATTTCGAAAGCCACGCAAACACACCTGCACTCCTCAACAAGCAGCTTCCCTGGAAGGAGGTTCAGTATGTGTACTCAGGCCTCAGAGCTCCGTGGGACCCAGCCCAGGGCCTGGGGCACAGCAGGAATAAAGGAATAAAGCAGCAGTCACACTGCCAACCCCCAGGAGTCAGCCACCCTTGCCCACCACAGGGCTCTCCCCTTCATCCCAGCTGTGGGGTCAGTGAATGCACTTGCATTTTTTTTTTTCCAGAAGGAGGTTCTGCTCTCCCCACAGAATTTGTTCCCTGCCTCCTCCTTCAGGTCTCAGCTCTAAACACCTTGCTTTGGGAGGCCCACCCTGATCACCTGACGCCAGCAGCACCCCTGCCCTGTCCTTTTGGCCCCTCTTCCATGGTACTCCTCACACTGACACACCACGCATGTGCCGATAAAGCTGGAGTTGCAAGAGAGGAAATGAAGGATTTTGTTTTAGTCATACTCTAGCAGGTGTGTGGTACAGAGTAGATCAATAAAGTTTTACTGAGCAGCCTATTACAAAGTATTAGGTGCTGTTACCTGGGAAGATACAACTCCACGTGACTGCCAAGTGGGTCCCCACTGTGCTAAACGGCTAATCCCCTAGCTCGGGCATCCTCTAGGCTCTTCAAGAAGGTGTTCTCAAGGGCTGGCTGAGTGGCTCAGTTGGTTAAGAGCTCGCTCAAGAGTTTGAGCTCTGAGCAACAGCAGTTCGATGCCCGGCCCGAGCTGAGCTGCCAACAAGTGGCAGGATGGCTCAGCTTTAAAAAAAAAAAAGGTGTTCTCAGAAGGCAGGTGACAAGTGCATGCCACTACCTTCAGGGGGTCGGGCTACCTGGGGCCTGAGGAAGCAACCCCATGACAGAGGCCACAATCCCCTCAGACATCACTTCTGGACTGTCCTGTTTTAAAGGAGCTCAAGGAGACCCACAGGACTGAAAGCAAGGTCAAAAGATCACCCTCCCTACCCCAAATGCAGACCAGGTCACATGCCTCGTCACA